GGAACAACAAGTTGTGACTTTCTCACAAAACAGAGACAACATCAAACATGAGGACATTTCCATTTGCCACACCTTGCCTTCTAAATCAGAAAATATCTAATCATTAGATTCATAAACAGAAAATCAAGAAATAATTTAATGGTGCAAGCAAAGAAAATGAAAGGAACAAACGTTGACATAAATGAACATTTAACCAAAAAAATGGAACCATCGCACATGAAGCAAGGTTGTTGAAGAAGCAGAAAAAGATAGCTGCAACTTGGACACGTAATGAAAGTATTTGGGTGAGAGTGAAGGATGGTTCACAGGCAAAAATGACTAAGGAGCTGAAGGACTCAGAGGTATTTAGAGGAATGCAGGAGGGGCCAAGTTACAAAAGTAAACGAAACAACTGGGGCAAGTGAAATTCTTAAAGTATACGAACAAATGGACATTTACATATGACATACATAGACTCAGAATCTAAAATATATAGCATAGATGAAATGATTGATTCAAAATTCTTTCCAACAAAGACAGTGAATATTACAATGTTGAGTAATTTAATAATAATATAACAATAGAGGGTCTCTCCATTATACATTTTAATAGTAGAAGTATTAATGCTAATTTATCTAACATTACAGATTATCTAAAACAATTAAACAGAAATTTAAAAAATAAAAAGTGGGTCCCAATGAGAAATGCTAAACTGGCTTGAGCTTTTGTACACTTGAGTGCATATCAGTTACCATAGGTTGGTGTAGATTCTCACTCATCCAGGTCATGGCAATCCTAAGTGCTCGAACAGAAAGCAACTGGAMCTCCTTTGTAAGAAAAATGACAAAAGAAGCCCTGTTCCTCGTGTTAAAGCACTTACAATAGTCTTCCTTAGCATTCAAAATGAAGGAATTTTTCTTTTTTCAAAAGGAAATGAACAAGAACAAACAAAAAAATAAAATACTTTTATTGTGTAAGGTTGTAGAAGTAAAAAACCAGACTAACAAAAGGGATACAAAAAATAGTATTTTGATTTCAACATATCAATAATATTTTTCTTTTTTTTTTATTTTTATCACTCAAGCCATTGCTTCTGCAACGCTTAAAATTTGTGGTAACATTATCCCAGTATGTGTGACTGACTGCAGTGCAACGCCTTGTGAAGCAAGCATGGATGTAAAGCTACCAGTGGAAACTTTACAAGGTTTACTGCACCAGTTGGTCTACGTTCCTACCCTCATCTATGGTCACAAACTTTGGGTAGTGACTGAAAGAATGAGATCGCGGATACAAGCGGCTGAAATGAGTTTCCTCTGCAGRGTGTCTGGGCTCTCCTTAGGGTGTGAAGCTCAGTCATCTGGAGCCGCTGCTCCTCCACGTCGAGAGGAGCCAGTTGAGGTGGCTCGGGCATCTGGTTAGGATGCCTCCTGGACGCCTCCCTGGTGAGGTGGGCACGTCCCACTGGGAGGAGGCCCAGAGGAACACCCAAGACACGCTGGAGGAACTATGTTTCTCAGTTGGCCTGGGAAATTTTAGTATGGTGGCACTGTCAAAAACATGGTTAGTGATGAACGTACAAATAACCATTTGTCCGTTTTCTGCTGCTTATCCGGGGTCGGGTCACAGGGGCAGCAGCCTAAGCAGAGAGACCCAGACTTCCCTCTCCCCAGTCACTTGGACYAGCTCTAGAAGGTCCTAGATATACCTGCACAACTGAATAAATAAATAACAACCCAATTTAAGTTGTCCACCACAGTTAACTGGCCTAAGCCAGCACAAAAATGGCTACATTTCTATTAAATTTGCAGATAATGAGTTRAAGGTTGGTGCGGTAGTAGCTGAGAGTTATTAGCGACACATACTCTGAGTACAAATCTATCTTGTATATTGTACATGTTGTCATTTTTTTAGTAAATTTTATTCACTTTCATTTAAAAACAAAACAAATACTATACATGCAACAAATAATACAAATCACAAGTAAAATGAAAGGTAGCAGAAAGAAGAAAAAATCATGTTAACATCTGCCCCTTTTTTCCAAAAATAAATAAATTCAAACAGTAATACATTCAAACAAGATTTCTTCAAACCCATGCAGTAGTGGGACAGATCTAGTGTCAAGCTGGTACTGTTTTTAAGATGACATGCCACAACTGGTTTGGTTGTGGTTTGACTTATGTGGCCAAAATCTGTCAGTACCTCAACTGGCCCAGTTGTGGTTTTGTTTAAGTGGCCCAATTCTGTCACTACCTTAACTGGCCCATTTGTGGTGTGGTTGGTGTGGACCAAATCTTTCAGTACCTCTACTGGCCCAGTTGGGGTTTGGTTGGTGGATGTGGCCCAAATCTGTCAATACCACAACTGGCCCACTTGTGGTGTGGTTGGTGGATGTGGACCAAATCTGTCAATACCACAACTGGCCCAGTTGCAGTTTGGTTTAAGTGGCCCAAATCTGTCATTACCTCAACTGGCTTGGTTGTAGCTTGGTTTGTGTGACCCAAATCTTTCAGTATCTCAACTGGCCCAGTTGTGGTTTGGTTGGTGAATGTCGCTCAACTCTATTAATACCATRACTGGCCCGGTTGTGGTTTAGTTGGTGGATCTGGGCCAAATCTGTCAATKACACAACTGGCCCRGTTGTGGTTTGGTTYATGTGGTYCAAATCTGTCAGTCATTCTTTGCGATATCTTGGCTGACGTGTTAGAGTGTTAATGCGTGTGGGCCAGAACTGGGCCAGACATATCTTGCTATGTGGGAAAAGGCAGTAACATTATTTTTCTTCACAAAATGRCCCTAATTTAAAACTGCCACAAAAAGCAACAGGAAACCTGCAATCATTAAAGGAATGCTAGGCTTTCAATTCTGATAAGCGTTGGGAGATTGTAGAGGAGTGAAAACTGGCCAGAAAGTCTGACACAAACTGTGCTAAATCAAACTTCCTCCACACTGAAAGCTGATCTTTATCTGCAGATAACGGTGCACACTCATCTCCGGGCACGTTCGCTGGTGTGTGTGTGTCGAAGCAGAAACGTCTCGACACCAGGACAACACAGAGAGGCGAATGTTTCGCACAGAAGGACTGTGAGCAGCTGCTCAGTCAGAACACAGCGTCTTCTGTATCTGATGGCTCATTGGCTTTGACCTTTAACCCTCTATCCTGAGTAATATGACCACAGGCTGCATAAGAGAGGCCTGAGTCAGTGAGCATGACTGCCTTTCAGTTTGTGAGCAACCACTTTTTCTTTTTTTCCCCTCCTGTTCTGCCTCACACTCACCGCCTACACTGCAGTAATTTATTCAGTACA